CTGTAAATGTCCATAAACAGCTCAAAAAGAGTCAAAATATTTTCAAAATTGTATGGTGTATATGAAATGCTAATATAAACATTCAGTGAAATTTTCATGTATCTACAGTTATTCGTTTTTGAATTACAACAAAATAAGGAAATCGCTACATGAGAAATCGAGTGAAAATCCAATGTTGTAAAAATTTGAATTTCAAACGCTCATAAAAATTTAATTTGACTGTCCGGTAGAGATTTTTTTATTGATAAAGGTAGATAATCTTATAAGGAATCTTGTGTTTCATTTTCAAATCTTAGATTTAAAAGAAAAATTTTTACGAATTCTTAACTCAAAATAATTTGCTAATTTTCGTGATTTTTCCATATTTTGTCAATTTTTGAACTTTAAATGCTTATAAAAAAAAATTGTGACTAAGGATTTTTAATATTTTTCATCTGCCTTTGAAACAACGTATTAGGAGCCTTCTATTAAATTTTCAAGCTTTCGCAACCAACAAATAAAATTTTATTGATATTTCTAGAAAAAAAACTAAAAAAAAATGAAAAATGAAAATGTCCCTAAACAGTTCAAAATAAATCAAAATATTTTGAAAATGTTATCGTGTATAGAAAATGCAAATATAAACAACCAGTGAAAATTTCGTGTATCTACGGTCATTTGTTTTAAAGTTACACCAATAACCAAATTCGATTTTTTGGAAAATCGATTTTGCGTAAAAATTCCCGTTTTTCCTTAATTTTTATGTTGTTTTTCCCGGCGCTTGTGAAAACTACTGGAAAATGTTTACTTTTGACCCCCCAAAGTACCAACTAGATTCACTTTCCTATCAGAAAAGGTACTATTGAAGAAAATCGAAGCACTTTTACAGTCCCAAAACGTGATGACAGACACAAAAATATAAATAAAAATATAAAAAAAAACATACATCATTGTAAAACCAATACATTCATCGCTCCGCTCAGAATCTAAAATATAAAAACATACATCATTGTAAAACCAATACATTCATCGCTCCGCTCAGAATCTAAAATTAAAAATTGAAAATGTCCGTAAACAACTCAAAAAGTCAAAACGAATTAAAATATTTTGAAAATTGTATGGTGTATAGAAAATGCTAATAAAAACATTCAGTGAAAATTTGATGTATACCTACGGTAATTTGTTTTAAAGTTACACCCAAAAGTCAAAACCAAAATCAATTTTGACGAAAACCGATTTTGAGTAAAAATTGCCGTTTTTCTTAATTTTTTTTTTTTGACTTTCCCGGCGCTTTTGAAAACTATTGTGAATCTTAAGCATTTTTTCGACAACTTATAGTATACGCAGACACAAATAACAAAAACGCATATAGGTACATATCATTATTGTAATAATAATCATATCGCTCAGAAATTAAAATCGTTTAAAATAGTGTAAACTGGATGATCATTATTCATTATTTACTATTTAGATTTGAGTAAATTAGTTTTTAAAATTAATGTAATTAATTTTAATGTACTTTACAATTTTTTTATATGTCAAATAAATTATGTTTTTAAAATTTTAAAATAGGTACATTAAAAAAAAAAAATTTGAATTTTGATATTTGTGATATATTATATGTTGTAAATGTAAAATAACAAAATTTAAAATTGCTAACAAAATATACCTAATTTTTATTCGATAGTACAAAATCGTAACAAAATTACGTAATGGCTGGTATATACGTTACAAGAAAGTAATGGTGTTACTGTGTTACTACAATATTACTACACAATGCTGAGTAAGTACCTACTAGAATATTAAATACCCTGAATGTATATATTGTATGCATCTGTTAAAGGTGGTAGGTACATAAATTGCCACATAATATAAAACTGTATAAGTTATACCTTTTACGAGTTTTACCAACGAATAATCTTATAGTCCCAGAGGAAGTAATGAAGATTACCAAAATATTTAATATTCTTATCAAACTAAGTAAATATGATTAATTTATAAAAACGAGTTGTTTTATCTTGACACGTTAAATACTTGGTAAACCGAATAAATTAAAAATTACTTATTTGCTAACAAGAAGTTGAGCTTTTTATGTTTTCAACGAGTGAGCGAAAAATAATTCTATCAAATCAACATATTAATTAAACCAATTTTTCTCCTAAATTAATTTATTATTACTTTTTAAATAGGTAGCTAGGTATCTGCGTCACAAGACAACACTATAAGTGTTGTACGTTATCTAGATAAAATTTTTATAAATTTTCCTTGGTTTTTTTTCCTTTTTCTATAATTTTTAATATGAACCAGGGTCATTGAACCTATATATTTGAAATTTAAAACAACGTGCCAACAATACCAAAATTATAGTTGCCCAAAGCGTCATCCGTAGGTATACTACATAATTTTGAATTGTTCGTACTTACATATAAGTTTAAAACCAAACAATATAAATTGTTAATTTTTTTAAATTGTATTATCTGCATTGATTGTATTTATGTTTTTATTAAAATATATTGTGTCATTATTTCATGAACATAGATTAATACTGAAACAGGCGAATTTAACCTTTTTTTGGGCGAAGAGCAAAACTGGGAATATGGTTTTTGGAAGTGAAGAGTCATGCCCTAACTTTGGACTTTTACAAAATACATTGAAATTGGTAAAATAATATGCGTATTAATCGACTATCTATATTTTTTGAAAAGATAAAAGATTCGCTTAATATATAGTACGAGGTGCCTAATTTTAATTTGTAAGTAGATAGTAATATTTTGATAAATACTTACTATATTATACTTACCTATTTTAATTAATATAATTTATATATAGGTAGTTTCTATATTCGTCATTACATTGGTTTAAAAGTTATCGATGAACACACACAACACAAATTTATTTCTACTAAAAATTTTATAATCCAATTTCAGACCAAATTAGGTACTAATATTATATAGTAATACCTACCTATTGGAGTGTTTTAAATTCATAATGAAATTATTATAGGCGTAGCTGGTATATTTTGCTTTATAAACACCATTCCAGAATTATTTGCCATAAAACCACATTTTTTACATTTTTATATAAAATCAATAAAATATGAACTATATTAGGTATATGCTTTGACCCACAGTACGATTTTCATGTCCCATGCACAATTCTCATATACAAAGATAATGATATAATAATATAACATAATATATATATATATATAATATATATAACGCATAATATATTATACTGTAGAGATAGTTAGATAATGCTCAAGCTAGGTACCTACCTATATCATTATCGTATAGTTTGTAATATAATATTGTGTACAAACTTAAAACTTCGTAGGTATACATCTATATACTTTTAAACCATTAATATTATCGAATACCTTTAAATTTGCGATTTGGTAATAATGATAATTTATCAAATAATATTTAATACCTATTATACATTATTGTAATATACACGAAATAGGTACTCCCAACTAAGAAAATAAATAGGTAGGTATTATATAAGTAGGTATATAATAGGTATATTGTGTGCTTACAGCAATACAGCGGGAATGTATTATATTAACTCAGATACCCAGGTGACTGAATTGTAAATATTGTACGGTATAAAGTATATCCAGTAATATAATATATGGTTTTACACTTTTACAACATGATAGGTACGTAGACTGTGAGTTAATGCCGTCTGCCTGCACATTTTATTTTCTTACAATCTTACAAAATAAAAAAAAACTATATGGGTAGATGTTGTTAGTAATGTAACCAGCTGATATAGCTTTATTTTTTGGGTGACATATAATAAACAATATTTTGGTTAGACACCTTGATTTCCTCAAGCTTGGGCAAGTTAATGGTAATTTTTAGTCCATAGCTAACAAATGTTTAACGAAATTTTAAATTGAGGTAAACATTTAAAAATACACTTGCCCCCACCCCCGATTAAATTTCTAACTACGCCCTTGTCTAGTATATATTATGCAGTGGAGTATAGCCCCCCTCCCATTGACTGTGTTGACCTTAGAATTTTATCAAGATTAATAAAAAAATAAAAAGTGTAAATAAAAGACATACTGTATTTGTATTGTTTGTATTTTTTTCTATTAGTCCCTCGCCCCCATACAAAACTCATGGCTACGTCACTGATATTATGACTATAGGTCTCAACCGCGATATATGAGTGTATATTATCATTTATCATAATTCCCTAAACACAGTATATACGAATTATCAATGCATTAATTTGTGGTTGTCGGTAAAAATGGTCATATTCAAAAATATCCAAGTTCAAAAATGGCCAGAGGAAAATAATATATGGCCTAAGCCAGGGACGGAAACCAAAAAAAAATTTGGCGGTTTCGGTTTTGGTTTTTAAAACCGGTTTTTTATATTTAAGGTTTTGCTCCCCGGTTTTAATACTCAAAATAAAAGTTGTAGGTTTTGGTGTCGGTTTTTAAAACCGGTTTTCTTTTACTAAGGTTTTGGTCTTCGGTTAACCGCTCATATGAGTCATATATAGGTAAAAAAAAAAAATTAAGTATTTTTAAATTTTTAATAAAACACCCTTTTCATTTGGGTTCATAATTGAATAACGAATATACACAATTTTTTCTCCTAGATACAAAGAATTTAAAATATCTAGAAAAAACTTAAGCATTATAAAGTTATAACTTATAAGTTATAACTTATAACTAAAACTTAAATAGCCTTAAACTTATTATTTACAAACCAATAACGATTAGACTTGAAATTTCATTAAGACACTAGGCAATTGTAATTTGTTACTTAAGGCTTTCTAGTTTATTACTTTTAACTTTTTAATAAAGTTTCATTCAAATACAATTATAAAACAATATATTAAATGTTAAATATGTACTTAAATATTTAATTATAGTATATCAAAATTGTATATTGATTACAACAACACAAGAAAATAACATTGTACTTTTCATAACTAATACTTTTATAATGTTATAAACTTATAGGTATTATGCATTTCACTTTTTTAATTTTAGTATTTTACTAAATTACTAAGTTTGATCGTAGTATCATTATTTGTTCAAGAACATTTGCTCCTAAATTTGACCGTAAATCATTCAAAATAAATTTTAATGATGAAAACAATCTTTCTACAGACACCTATAACAAGTAACAAATTTATAAAAATAATACAGTTTATACTTTTTAGTTTATACAAAATAACACCAAATTACCTGGGTAGTTGGTACTGCCATAAATATTTTTGAAAGCTGATATAGCTCTGGCATTTCATTTTTTTTATTTTTCCAAAAAGCAATTATATCCTCACTATATGGCATTTTGGTTGAATTTTCAAAAGTATTAAGAATAATTCTAATGGGAGTAGCTGTACTATAACTTGTGGTCGTTGTGGAAGAACTTGATTCTGGGAATTCTTGTGAATTTGATAGAGAGTTTAAATATACCTGAAATTCATCGTCTGTGTCATCATCTATTCTTTTGTCATATGTATTAGAGTTAACACTGTTATCCTCCGTTTCAACTGAAGAGGTTGGAAAACGATTTTTTAAACGATTCAACAGTTCCCATGTTTTAATTAAATGAACTACTGCTCTTGATTTAGATTCTTCAGACATCAAATGTTGGTAGCGAAGATCAAGATATAATGCTACAGAAAATTAATGGTGTAAAAATTAAAAACATATTAATTACTAAATGCTATATAAAAATAAAAATATAAACTATAAATCAAATTAAATATTACTATACCAGATTCAAACACCGGATTATGAAAAATACTGTCTTTACGATTGTTTATGTTTATCAACAATTTTTTTGACATTGGGGTATTTAATTTTTTCAATTTCATTTGTGCGTTAAGCCAAATACCAAAGCAGTCACCAGGATTTAAATCATTTTTCTGCATTTGAATTGTAGCTGTTTTAGCTGGCTCCAAATCATTAACCTATTAATTATTTTAAATTAAAATATGTACTACCAAATAAAGTATAAGCTTCAAACTGTAATTACCTATTAACTATATTATTATTAGTGCAAAGTTACAAACAATTACAAATAAAACACCTTCATGATAAATTAATACAATTTTTTTTGTTTACTTTTTTATTTTTTCAATTAAATTAATTAAATTGTAAAATGCTTTAGTTTAGAGTGTTTAGACTTAGAATTTAGGAAATAATTACACATATAGATCAACATTTATTGTGATTTGTAGTACCTATTCATATTATACTTACCAAATTATGTATTGAATTCCAATCATGATCATTTAATAACTTTTTGGCATTAACACTACAGAATGTTCTTAGTTCTAAAAGTCTATTTAGCATGTTATATGTACTGTTCCAGCGTGTTTCAATATCTAATATTGCCTGTTTTAACCCTTCTTTTTTTAACCATGCTGAATACGTCTGGGTTCTCAGGGACTTTGCTGCCTACAATGTTCAGATACAATATTATTGTTTAGTGTTCATACTTTTACAACAAAATTTTGTTAGACCATAAATTAAACTTATGTTTTATTCAAATTCTAATAATATTCTATATATTTCAAATTGTTTAACTTCAGAAGTCTTGCTATTTTAGCAAATTAATATAACAATTTAATAAATGTTAATATAAATTATAATCAATATTTGATTAGGTGCCTATATTATATCATCATGGTTTACTCTTTATAATAATAGGTATGCTATTAATTATTATAGCATTATTATACTACTTACTTTTCTAGCTTTTGATAAAATACTACTTATAGATCTGTCTTTCAAAGTATCATATACACTCAGTTGAAATGTATGAACAGCACACCGTACACAAGTAGTCATTGGAAATTCATCAAGAATAGAAGCTGTTACCAAATTTTCCAACTCCAAACAATCATTGGCCCGAAGTTCATTACCATTATTTTCTTCTGAAAATAAACAAAATATTGCATAAATCTCAATACACATTATAGTAATACCAGTATACCACATAAAGTATATTTATCAAAATACTCAAAATTTGCCATTTACCTTCATTCAATTCCTGAGGTTCATCATTGTCATTTTCTACTTCTTCTTGTGTATCAGGTTCAACTATATTAAATAAGTCCACCATTTTTACCATATTTTTTGCATTATCACAAGTTATGGTAAAAATTTGGTCAGATGTTACACTGTATCGTTCCAAAATTATCATTAGCTACAAATAATAAAAACAAAATTGTAATTGAAACAATTTATTTAGTAAGTGATCAATATTTTTTATAAATTAATTTAATATATCATTACCATTTCTTTTAAATAACTGCCAGTGTGCTTGTCCAAAAGCTGAATCAATCCTAAAGTTAGGATTTTAATTTTGCCATCACTAAAATACTGGCAATTTATTCCTAAAATGCATCTGTCCAGTCTTGTCACGCCATCAACTTTTAAACAAATAAGTCTATTTTTCAATTCTTTTTTTATATTAATAATCATATTATTGTATTTTAGTTCAATTTCATTTTTTATATTGTGGCGATTAATGGAAAATCCTAAAAGACAAATAATTAAACATAGATATTAGATAATAATATAATATTAAATTGATTAATAAAATTATTCAGAAAAATTATATGGTAATTTATTGGTAGCATTAATATAAATACCTGGTTCAATAGCTTTTAATAAAGGGTTCAAAATTTTTTTAAACCCACTGTCTTCTAAAATAGACAATGGTCGTCCATTTTCAGAAACTAATTCAATGCATGCATTAATCAATGTATTTTTGTCCATTTCTATTGTAATTTTTTTTTTAGACACTGTTACTATATTATCAAGTGTTCCTTGATGGTGGACCTTAAATGATTTATAATATTATAAATTTATAAATAAAAATTATCATTTATCAGTTAAAACAACTTTTATATTTCCTATAAATTATTAAGTGTCAACATTTAATAGTATATTTCTCATTAAACTATCCATTTAAATACTAATGACTATAGTACCAAAAGCATTAAGATAAATTTAAATCAAATAATTGTTGGCTTAAAAATGAATATTAAAATATTAGATACCTATGTATAGTTATAATTTCATAAATAATTTAAATTTTTAACAAAAGTAAATTTTTAATTTGTCTTATATTTATATAAAATATAGGTAAAATCCTTACCTTCTGTTTTTTATTTTGTTCTGATCCTTGTTTTTTTAGCAATAATTTATTGAAATCATCAGGATGAATTTTTTGCAAATGTCTCTCGAGGTTTGATGCATGCCTCCCAGTAAGATAACTAGGGCAGCCTTCAATTAAACATTTTGATTTGTTAGAATCGTTATCGAATTTAAAAAATAACTCTTCAACGGGATTTCGCTTGCCCATAACACCGTTTAAAGTTTCAACAAAATATTTTAATAATAATTTAGTTACTCGACATTCACACGACAACTTAACGCGAATTGACAGTACGCACTGACGTATTTCAAATAAATACCATGAAAATACGAAATCACATTATCACAAATCATAATACCGAAAATTATTAAGCTAATAAACTGCAATGATAATAGTATCAACATTTAATTATTTAAGTTATAAATAGCTATAACTTTCAATACTCATCGAAAACCTTATGGCTTATATTATTGATAGAAAATTACAAATACCAATAACTTAAATGAATTAATATACGACATTAGTCATTACGACTATATACGGTCTATTATTAATTTGTAGTTGGTACGTATATTTTTTTCCAATAACAAGTTATTGCGACTAGTCGACGTCGGACACTAGGTATATTATTTATTAATTATTAATAACTAATAACTAAGAATTTATAATATGTAACCAGTATTGATAAACTTAAACTAATCACTAATTCAATTTATTAGGTAGGTATCAAATATTCTGAGAAATTCAAAATCTTAATCTAGTGATCAATACCAGCATAAGTGCATAACAGACGGACAACGGTGTTCACAAAACACGAAAATATATACCTATAGCAATAATGCAATATATACTAATTACTAGGTAGTAGGTATATAATATATAATATTTACCTACCTAATAGTATAATAAACTTATATAACAAAATATAAGTGGAATTCAATTTATATTTATTATATCTACAGAGAATTGTATAGTTTAACCGTTGTATTCACAGAATATCGACTCTCGTTTTAATATTTTATGTTCAGATATTTCTAAAATATTAAATAACATAATAGTATCAGTAATCATTTAATGTAAAAAACCGGTTAACCACTAAGTAAAAAAAACGGTTTCGGTTTTGGTTACCGTTCAAATAACCATGGGTTTCAATCTCGGACTTGAAAACCGCTCTCTTGTTTTATTGCTCCCGCTCTGGTTACGGTTAAGATAAATCATCAAAACCGAATATTAACCGTTTTTAACCGGTTTTCCTAAAACCGGTTTCCGTCCCTGGGCCTAACACAAAAGTTGCCTGGAGAAAAAATTATTAATATCAGTGGATAACCAATATCTGGTACTTATTGATAAATATTTTGCGAACAGTATAGCATTCGTTAAAATTAATAATTCTAAATCATCCACCATATAATGCAGTTTTTAACAATGTAATAATTTATTATTTTATGTTACATAAAAATTTGTATGAACGTACGAATTTTAACATTTTGTAGCCATTTTAACTAATGGAGAAAACAATAATTTATAACATGATGTGTTAGACAACAGCCATTTTAAAGATATTTTGTGTCATGGAGAAATGGAATAAATAAATTGCAGCATATTCTCTACCGTATGATATTACCAACGGATATTTCTATATCTCTCTGTCAAAATCCAGTTGTTATGCAATAGGCGAAGGGGTGGAATGCGAGGTCCATCATTTAATAAACCTATGATACAATATTATTGCTTTTTTTTTTAGTTATTATAAAAAGGATTATTTTGCCACGTTGATTATTATAGACATAAGACTGCACTGATCCAATATCTCTAATAATATACGTTTTAGAGGGAGCGAAATACGACCTGGAAAACCAGCATAATAATATTATTGGGGGAAGGAGTGGCCGAGCGGATTAGGGTGTCGGTTGTGACGCACACTGGCGCCGGTTCGAATCCGCCTGCTGACGGCATTTTTCTTCGGGCAAGTCCAAATTCTGCTAAAACACAACACTACAAAACCTAAAAACCCCACAGTTCCCTCCCCACTCTCTCCCTGTCAACCCATAGACAGGGTGTCCATAGGCGTGCGCTGCAGACTTTTGGTTCCGGGGGTGTACACTAAAACTTAGGGCCCACAATAATTTTGAAAACAATTATAGATAGTTTTAAAGATATCAAATGCACTAAAAATATTTGTTTTATTTTATTATTCTTTCTAATAAATATTGCATAGCAATATATGTAGATATACAATGTTATAATGATAATCGACGTTTAAAAGGAACAACATTTTTGAATTCGTCAATAATTTAATTAATTTAATTTACAATTAATTGATAATTAGGGCCCTTGTCGTTATTGGTGAAGGGTCCGGGGGTGCCCAGTCACCCCCGGCACCCCCTTCAGTGCGCACGCCAATGTAGACACCTACGGGTGCCCTTAAGTCGCTCGTCACGACTTATAACCGATCTACAGTGGGGTGCCAATAAAAAACCGGCAGCCCTCTTTTTGAGTTTCAGAACCAAACTCAAGGCTTTCGATTTTTCTCGTTTGTGTCATTCCTGTTGCCGACTTGTAGGCGATTAACGATGAGGAATGCCGAGGAAATGTTGGCACTCTAACTTTTGAGTTTCAGATCCAGACTCAAGGATCTCGATTGTTCTTCGTTTGTTCTCGTTTGTTCTACTGTACACTGTCGTATGTCTCAAGTTCTGTTTAATAACGTTTAAAATAACTCTAGTATAATAGGTATACCTATACGTATGGTTGAAATAATAATACTGTGGAATCAAAATCAAAATCAATTATGTACACATAAATACATAATATTATTTACCTACGTTTAATATAATATTTTTAATTTTTAATTTTCGTTGGTGTTCTACAAAACGTGTTTTATTTATTTGAGAGGCAGTTTTAAATACTAATATATGGGCTATTCAAATACATGGTCTAATATTATTGAAGTGAAACTTCATAGGCGACATCGGACTTTCTAAAGCTTAGTCAAATCCTCGGATTATATATTTCTTTTCCATTATACCTAATCTATTCACCATTATGGTTCGCTCAGGTGCAGACTCGGTAGTGTTGCTAATGGTACGGTATTTGGCGGGGATTACAGTAATCTTATACTCGGTATACGATCAGAGTACGGACAACAAATAATTTTTTTACGTAAAATCTGCATCTGTAGGTATTTGGTATGGCGTATTTTATCATATTTATATAATATGAAGGAAATTCTATAGCGGAAAACGTTTTGCAGTACCATCGCCAACGTTTGAAACATTGAAAATGTTGAAATTCTTAAGAGCTTGGTGCAGTATGTAAATTAACCTTGGTAGATATATATATATATTTCGAAACATAATAGGTAACATTTTTAATTTTAAATTAAATCAATACAGGTACTTTTGATTGATAGACTTAAGTCAAAATCATAGAGAATTAAGGAAAGTTAAGTATTGATTATATAATAAATAACTAGAGGTCCTGTGAGACTCACGTTAAAAAGCGGAAAGAGGAAAAAGTATAAAACTAAAAACAAACTCAACAACGGTAAGTATATATTGGTTATTGGAACTGAACAGACAAAACGATAGAGCATGATGGCGTTTGCAATGATTGGCGTTGTTTAGCAAACATAGACAGTCCTAAATTCTCTGTTATTAAACGTCTCCTGCAATGTTTACCAATATAGAATTTTCACTACGTATTCACTTCTGGTGTGCGTACTGGCACACACGATTTTTATTATGACATATTATATAGCCATATAGACAGGTAGCCGGTAGGTACTTGGTTGTAAGTTAAGTTACTTAGCAGCAGTGGCGGCGGGATATACAATGCTTCATGTCTGAATTGGTGGGTGGGTGTATAAATATACATAATCGTAAGACCTCAATACAAATATCGTGGCAAAATTTATGATTGATAATTATTAATGGCCCCTGCTGCTAATGTTGGTTCATGAAGGGTGCGGCGGTATAAATATTTAAAATATGCAATATGCTTCAAAGCATCCACGATTTCGCTCTGCCACTACTTAGCAGCTATGAGTAAAATCACAGGTACCTATTTATAAAATATATGATTTATGCATACCTATACGGCTATACGTATACGCTATATACATATGTCTTAGATTTTAGAATATCAATTAAGACTTGCACGTGACATTTGCAAGTAGATAAATGTTAAGTATATTTACTGCAGCAACATAAGTCTGTATGACTGTATATAGGTATAACTGTATAAGTGCTGCAAGACACTGGAACTTATTAACTATATTATATCCATGCTAAATTGCTGTTCATTCATTTTTTTACTTTTGGCCATATTTTCCTCTGGTCATACATCATGAACTTTTTTGTAAATACACATTTTTATCTGGACATTATTTTATTCCATGGCCGTTTTTGGCATAGGCATATTAATTAGGGTGTACCTAACGAATGTTACTGCAGTACCTATATATGATACTTTATAGGCTCATGGTCAGCATACGTGTACCGTTCTATTTTCTCATAGAAGTATTATTTTCTTCAAAAAATATATTTATAAATTTTAACATTTAAATATTAATTATTGCATATAATATGCGTCAGCCGTCAAGCCTATATAGCTTATCTAGCTGTTCCGCGTAATTCGCACTTTCGTAAGCACTCCGTCGTTATTCGTCACAGTGAGAATCACTAGATAATCCACAATAGGTAAGTACCCACTATTACTCATACCAATAGATGACATATTATTTTATTATTATAAAATAAAAATAAAAAAAAAGTGGGTGAGGGGATGTCGCTCTGCTGTACAGTAGGTTACGAGTGGGTCAATGTATATAAAGGATTGTATTCAACTCGAATTCAATGATATAATATCATTGTATAAGAAAAACGATTCTGAGCGGAGACGGTTTGTCAGTCTGGATATTTTTATTATTCATTATAGCTTGTTAGTTGAATTAATTATAATATAATATTATAATTTTTTATTCGTTTCCATGGTGAATTTAATGTTCTCAGTAGTTTTCAAAAGCACCGGGAAAAACAATAAAATAAGAAAATTGGTACATGAAAAATCGAGTGAAAATCCAATGTGATAAAAATATGAATATTTCAAACGTTCATACAAAGTTGATTTGACTTTCTTGTAAGCCTTTTATTTTTTATTGATAAAGGTAAACAAACTTGTGAGGCCGTGAGGGATCTTGCATTACATTTTAAAATCTTGGATTTCAAAAGAAATTTTTTTATGAATTTATAACTCAAAATAATTTGCACATTTTTGTGATGTATTTTGTCAATATTTGAACTTTAAATGTTTATAAAAAAAATTGTGACCATGGATTTTTAATATTTTTCAAATATCGTTGTATCAATATCAAGAGCCTTGTATTACATAGCCTTTTTACCCAACAAATTAAATTGAATTGACATTCATAGAAAAAAAGACTATAATAAAATTGGAAACTGAAAATTTTCTTAAACAGTTCAAAACAAATCAAATGTTAAGTTATTTAAGTACGAGATGCCTATTGGAAATATCATATACACCCAAAGGATATCAATCGAGTGCTGTCGTTTCGACCATAGGACGGTTAACGACAACGGGTCAAAATAAATGTTTTGGGTACAACGGTCAGGTCTTATTTTATATCTGCCGACTGTAACGATTGCTGCCAGACCGTTTTACGACCTTCCGCCGGGCCATCGGTCACGAAAACGGAAGCGCTCGATCGTTTATCAGCGACACGCCGACGGTCCGCTACTGGTCACGCGCGCGTAGTGACAGTAGCACCGGCCACCGACATAAGCTGCGGAATAGATAGCACAACGACCGTCGCCGCCGTCGCAATATTTGTATTGCGTTAACATTGTTAACGGTTATTATCTGCGGTCGGACCACATTGCCGCTATCAGAGTACGACGTCGGCCGCTGCATGAGCCACGCGCGCTAATCTAACTGATAACAACAACAACAACACAACAACTCGCGCACCGCCGACGACTACGATTACAACACTACACTATTACGGCGCGCCGTCACAGCCGCCACCGCGCCTCCGCCACTGTGGGGGCGACGACAACAGCTGCTGCCGATGCCCGCCGCCGCCGCCGCCGCCGGTTCAGTTCGGTCGCGCCGTGCTCCCGCCGCCGCACCGCGCACTCGTCGCAACAACGCCGCGCGCACACGTCGTCGCCGTCCACGACTGCCACTGCTCACTGCATCGGCCGTTCGGCTCCGCGCGCGCGTTTCCAGTTTCCAGGCGGCGCCGGATTTTTTCTCCCTCGTCTTCGTCGTTGCCGTGCGTTCCCATCGCGGCTCAGTCGCGCGCCGTTCTCAGTCCGTGGTTCATCGTCCCCGCTACCGCGCGCCCGGCGTGTGCGTTTCGATCCGATTTTTTTGAATTTTCGTTTGAGTCATTGGAATAAAATAAATACTTTGGAATACTTTTAACTTCGACCTTCGGCCTTCTAACCGCAATGTACGTAGTACTACCTGAGATCACTGTGCGCACACACAGTTAACACTCCTCAGGTTGTATACCTACGTTTGTTGTTCGGTCGGTTGTCGTTTTTGGTTTTTAAATTTTTTTCCCCTCCCCAACCATCGAATAGGCCCGTTGCGCCCCGTCTGAACCGTTCCGAACGATAGCAACGATGGCTGCGTTCAGCCCCAAAAGAACGTTAGCGATTATTGTGTTGTTGGTGTTGTGCGACGGATTGGTCGTGTCGGCATCGTACGGCGGTTCGTTTGTAAGTTTGGTGGAAGTCGTCAACCACACAAAGTTCACCCAGGATGACACCAAAGATTTGTACGTCAATTTGACAGTTGGCATGTATGGACAAGGACTCAACGAAAACATAAAAATCAGGCCCACCTCTAGAGTTGCGTTACGTGGCTCTGAGTGTTATAAAAACCATCCTATGAAGAACATTGATTCTGACAGCCATGTTTTCAAACAGGTGAGCTTACTCTTATAATCACAAGGTAGTAAATTAGAGTAGGTATGTGCCAAAAAGAATCTGTAACCGATGTGCTTTAATATAATATTCAGTTGCATAATATTATTTGTACATATTGAATATAATGTCTATAATATGCTCGATAATATGGTTCTGCCAAGACTTAAAAATGCTAATAAAACTGTTTAATATAATATACTACCTACCTATACTCATTTTAAATTTCAATAATTGCCCTATAACCTAAAGATTTTTTACTTACAGCTTTATGTTGTTAGATATGTAGGTAGGTACTTGAATTATTTGTAGTTGCCTATTGATTTATTGGTTTGCCAACTTAATAAATATGTATGTAATAAGTAGGTATTAAATATTTAAAAATAAAAATTACTAGCAATGTTAATAATACCTAAGGTAGGTAAATAAAGAATAATATAATAAGAATTATAAAGAATATCAGTAGGTAGGTATTCATTCTATCGAGCATTCTATTAATGTAAAATTAGACAAACATCTTTTAGCCAGGTATTCATAGTTTTTTTGTAAAAAATAAACTTATTGTTTTTAGTCTATAATCCCAAATTTCTATGCAATACTAATAATTTAATATTACTAGGTACCTACCTCGGTAGGAAAGAATTAAATTTCTTAGGTGTGTAAGAAATATTACAAAACATATTATTTACCTAAGTATGGTGGCATGAAAATAGTTTAGGTAGGTATCTTATAAGTTTTTTTGAACTCAAGTATTAGATTAAACCTTAGAGAAAATCATAAAATATAGTACCGAGTGTTGTACCTACCTATATGTAACATATTATATTCAACATTAGATTTAGGTTCAGATAGCTAGCTTAGGAATATGTATGTAGATGGATGAAGTTGTATCGCACTGTTGTATAATCAGAGTTATAATAGTTGTATTAAATTGCATTTTTTTACTATGCAAGGGTTTCTGATTTTAAAAATTACGGTTAATTTAACTAAATAAATATAATAATCAAAATAAAAATAACCTAACAAATATATTATTTAAGTAGGTATTGTCATTAAATTATGGCGCAGATGCCCAGATGGTCATCTAATTGTGTTTCACATAAGCAAATAAGCAATAGCATTGATTGTGCTTAATGCAAACGGATACAGTGAAACTAGTGGCAGAAACCATAGTTTTAGTCACCAAAAACTCCTATGCCTATGGCTTATAAAGGTATTTTAAAATTAATAGCAATAGGTATACTAATAGTGATCACTGGATACAAATACCTCCATTAAAATTAATTTTATTGATATTTTTTTGTACCTATCTAAATATGGTGTGAATACTTAATTTGTTTCATTAAACGTTATACTTATACACGAGTACAAACATTTAGTATGGTTACTATTTATAGTGTACTTATAATAATATAATATACTAGCCTCGATACTAGCTGATCCTGTGCACTTCGTTGCCCGTTAAATGTACCAACTCTATATGACTCAAACTTTGTTCAATTCGTTATTTAATATTTGGTGTATGGTGCTCAAAATTTATCTTAACTTTTCTGTTGCCTGGAATAAGAATTTTGCTTCACAGCAGTATATTATCAGCGCAACTCAGCCACCCTGGTAGGCAATGTGCGAAAATTTGATTTGATGCATTCGACTTGTACCTGATTTTCCCGATTAACCAATAGCAACCAATAATAAATAAATACTATTTCTATTAATTATTTCTTCTATAACCAATAGCAACCATTTACAAACAAATATTTCCATCGTAAATCTCAAAATCCCTGTTTGAGCACTTCTATTAATTGGTCGTAGCGTGATGTTATATAGCCTATGCCCTATAGCCTTCCTTGATGAATGGTTTATCCAACAAAAAAATAATTTTTCAATTCGAACCAGTAGTTCCTGAGATTAGCGTATTCAAACAAACTCTTCAGCTTTATAATATTAACTATAGATGTTATAACTTGTGTTGTTTGGTTATACCTAATAAAGTAGAAGAATAAGATGAAATATGTACCTAGGACATAGGTATACAATCAATGTACACTGCTTATTTAAGTAACAAGAATTATAAAATATATCCTTTGCAATAAACCCTTTATTATAGTAATTAATGTTTTTATTTTTTAATAAGAAGTACCTAGTAATAATAATAATGGTATTAATAAACATTTTTGAAGCATTGGTATCTGCAATTACTTTGAGGCATTTATATTTTTGGGGAAAGCATACAAGCTTTGCAAGAATTCTGTAGAATGTTCAATTTTACTTTTAATACTCTTAAAATATGTTTGTTATCATTGTGAAACTAATTATTTTTTCACTTCATTCATAACGTTCTCGCATATTCTTTAGAAGAATATTGAATGTCAACTATCAATGCTGTATAGATACAACTAATCTCTCTATACTCATTTAATATTACAGTAGCCCGCAGTAGCCATATACCTAAATGTATTTTTATTTATTAAACTAAATAAAAAAGTAAGTTATTAATAATTTAATAGCTTCCTACAATTAATCAACAAAATAACTGTATTATAGGTTGATACATTTCAATCTGTACAGTAAACATATAAATCATGGGATGTATATTACCCCGTATATTACTTTGACAATAATATAATGTTGTAGTGTTATACTACAAGTAAGTTGTTTGAGTGTTCGTACACATTTCATGTAATTTTCAACATAATATATTTTACAGTGTAAAGAATGAGGTAATGCAGTAGTAGATGATACTGAGTTAATTTTAGATGTTGTCCACTAACTAATTATTCAAAATGATTATATAGACATGACATTAACATAATTGGTAGTAATATTGTTTTTATTAGGTATTATTATAGGACTGTCAAGTTTCATGACTATTTGGTACCTATTACATTTTAGATTAGTATTTAAAAATTGTATATTATTGGCTCTATAAATTATAGAGAAGTTAGGGTATTTAGGTACCAGCAATTTAAGAATTGTAATAAAAAAACTAAAAAAAACTAATGGGCATTAAATTAATAAGCTAACCAATAGGTACCTAGGTAAAAACTCCTTCAACAACTAAAATGAATGTACATACCTACCTACTTTAAGTTATCATCAGTAAAAAGGATGTTACTATTTAAAACTGTCCTTAAATGTAGGTACAATCTAATATACCTAATTGTTGAAATTTACATGTGTTGTCTCACAAATGATACCACTGTTACCACTTTATTATTGCTATAGTTATGAATAGGTAGGTATAAAATATAAAATACATTTAATTATATAATAATTGCCTGATATAACTATATAAGTATATAATGAATAATGGGAATTTCAAATTCTACCTTCAGAACTCAGAATTATGTAAGCAGTACCTATGGCAACAATAAAAGAATATTATAGGAATTGTACACATATCAATGTTATTTCAGGTGTTGCCGGCAGTGATGGTTTGTTGTCATTAATTCTAGTACCTAATACTTTAGACTTAAGATCAATTTGCGAGGCGATTTTCTGTATGCTACCAATTAGAATATTGATATTCCAAGCTCAATGCACTACATTTGTGAGAATTTTCCCCTTCCCCTCCCTGACAATAGCCCTGATTGTAATAATTGTTAAACAAATATATTTCTAGATTTATTCAGTATCTGATATGTAATATAATGCTTACCTATTATTATAGTTAGATATACATTTTATCAATTATCAATGTAGGTAGATATACTAGTACAGAGACCAGTTCTTAGTAAGTTTTAAAATAGGGCCCTATTGATTTTATTTTTAATTGTTGAGGAGTTGATTACTTAGTAATTTTTATATATTTGAATGTAAAATGTAGTTAGTTCCTTTCATGTATTTATGTATTAAGTAGGCACTAGATATAGAAGTACCTAATTGCTTTTGTATTCATTTTTAGTTATATGTGAATGTATTTAAAACCTAATGACTTGTTTCACGAAATTGTATGTTTTATTTTAATTAAAAATGAACAAATAAGTATATTTATGAATATTCATCCAACTAATTATTAATGTACGATCACTTGATATACATTTTTAAATTAAAATAATAGTACACATCCACCTACTGTATTATGTCGTAAATTATTTTTAAAGAACGACATATTACTTAATATATAGTTGGTCTAAAATTATAAATTTCTATTAATTTTAAATATTGACAGTTCTACGACTAATCCATTTAGAAATGAAATCTGAAATACTAAGTCAAATGATATAGGTAGGTATTGCTATTCAAACATATTGTAATTATACCTTATATACCTAAATAAAAAAAAAATGATTCTTTTAAATAAATTTGTTTTCATCTTTAGGGCTAGTTTGTATTAGGCTAGGCAAACAATGTAACTATAGCTTTTCTCTTAAAAAGTGATCAACGAAAGATTGAAGTGTCATTTTATTGTCTGCCTCTTGAAAATATGGGTATAAGGGATTAAGCATATTAGAGAGTATCATCTCGTCCTTAGGATCGGATCTAATCCTTTACAAGTATAATACACTCATATATAGGTACTAATGTATATTATACTTCTAATATTGAAATACCTGACAAGATAAGTTACTTTTTTAAATTAAAGTATATTTTTACCTAGCTACCTAATGATTTGAGCGTAATAAAAATCTTAGTCATTGATTTATTGTACATTGAATATTCATACTAATTTCTATTGACTATTTGTTTAAGTTTTTAACGAATCCTATTGTTTAATTTTCGAGAAATTTTTCAAGTTTGTAAATACTAAATAGTTTATGTTTTCTTTTTTCCCTTCTCCCTAACTAATTCAATTATTAATTTTTATGATTTATGACTTGTAAATAGTATTTATTTATTTTTATCAGAAAATAACAAATACAAGGACAAATACCTGCCTACTAACTTACAATCGTGCATAACTATGTTCTGTTAAAGAAGCTTAAGTTATTAGTTATTTAGTTTTTCGTAATAACTACCTAATATTGAAATTTATCTAAAAAAAATAAAGAGCTTTCAAATAT